CTCTCTCTCTCTCTCTCTCTCTCTCTCTCTCTCTCTCACTCACCCCTTCTTCCTACTCGTCCTTCTACACACTCCCTGCTCTTCCCTCTCCCAGTGTCCGTCCCTCCTTTTGTAAAGTAAAAGCTTGACATGAATTCTGATAGTCAAGCCTGTGTATGGTCTTTGTACATGAGGTTATCAAAACTCTTATTACAGAAGCCATTAATATGCCCATCTCATTGGGATAGCATTTCAGATACTTTTTTTAAACACTCTTATGGGTATATTTATTTCTTTGTACTGAGAGGATAGAGGAAAACATTTTTTTGTTGGTATTGTATTATATAATCCATAGTGAATCCAGTAGCCTGTTTCAAACTTTGTTTTTTTTTGTAATGGTGCATTGTTGATATGGTATGGTGTGATTTGAATAGTTTAAAAAGTTTCTTGATTTGATTATAGTATTCAAAAGAAGAATATCCACTCATGCAGTCATCATGGATGTTTAATTTTTTTTTATAAGATTTTAAAAATTTGTGATAGCATATGATGCTTTCTCTGTTATTGTTAGTCTGCCATAAGTTCAACAGTGAGTGCTGGCCTAATACAAACTCATTCACAGTGGGAGTTTGTTGAAGTTGAGCCCTGCACCTGTACCATGGGCTGCTGTACAGTGAGTTAACTTATCCTGTGACTGATCTTCAGGCTTGTGCAGTATAAGAAAAAAACAGGAGTGATACTGATTGTGCTCTGAATGTTAATTTTTACAGCTGTTATGACTAACATTTGTAGAGCGTGAGATTTTGTTTTTGATAACAGCATGGATGTTTTTTTATTATTATTATTATTATTATTGTTTTTATATTCTTATTGTAGGGTTCATAATTCCTGATTTGATGTGGATTAGGGAAAAGGAGATTGTGTTACATATCATTAATGTTTTTTCTCAGCTATTCAGGCATAAAGAAATACAAGAAAAATAAGTTTTTGTCCAGTTTCTTGGCAAGTTTCCTTTTGTCAAAAATAATTATGAAGACACTCCTAGGAAAAGCTCTAGGCCCTTTGCATAAATTAGGTACATGAGGTATGGCAGACAGCTTTGATGGAGCAGCTGGAGGAATGTAGGTCACGACGGCACAAATTTTATGAATGGGTTCCTCAAGTGAGCTGATTGTCACAGGGTTAATAGGGCCTGTCATGCCACTCATGTAGTTTTTTTTTCTTTTCTTTTCTTTTTTATTATTACTTTTTTCAATCTAGTTTTTATGAAGAAGATTGTAGGCTTCCAGTGTGAGTGACCAGGCAGAGATGATAGCTATGCGAACAGATTGCATTTACTGCTTTTTTTTCCCCCTTTTTCTCAAGTGCTTGCCTGAATACCGGCATCAAGTGGTATCCTGCTCATGTTGTTTACACTGAGGGATATGATACCTTTAGGGTGTTTGTGTGTATGTGTATTTATTTTCGTCTTTCCAAGTGCTGTGGATTGAAAAGCCTCTTGTATAGCCTATAGTGGTTATTTTGATGATTTGATGGTATTGTTTTTTTGTTTTGGTTTGGTTTTGTTCACCCCCCAAGTTTGATTGACTTACAATTTCTAATAATACAGACTTGAGCACAGGTAGTCTATTAGCTTACTGTTAATTTTGCATTAATACATAGTTTTGGGAACTCAAATTTATAAAGATGTCTTGAGAAAGGAACCAAAGAAGATGCATGATTTGTTTATGATTTACATGACTGAAGGGTTTAAAGAGTGTGGTAGTTTTGAAGTTTTTTGCTAACATGCTTCGCTGTTAGGAAAGCTAAGATATAAACTCTATTGCTTAACTGAAATTTAAATGGGTTAGAGAGAGAAATGTGTAAAATCACTGAAATTTTGATTATTAAGCAGTTGGACAGGTTCTCCAACATTATTTAGTGTTTTTATTGAAGTTCTCTATTACTGTTTAAGCATGGTAATAACAATCGTCTTTTTGTTATTATCACTGTCATCGTCAGTATTACAACCATGCTTTATGGGCATTAGTGTTTATTAGTGTCAGCATTGTGATTACTCTTTTCATCATCTTATCACCATATTTACAATTATCATCTTTAGTATTGTTATAATTTCTCTACTACTACCAGTACCATTAGAGTCTTTGCCATGTCTAATATTTAAAATCTGTTGCAGGCGCCCGCAGCTATGCCGGAGGAGAAGGCGGGGAAGGGGGAGAATGGGGTCGGTGTGGAGACCAAGACCTCAGGCTCCCCTAGCAAGTCCCCCTCCAAGGCTCCAAGGGGGAAGATGGTCCTCTCACGGGTCAAGCTCCTTGATGGGACCGAGTGCGAGGTGGCGGTGGAGGTGAGTGGGATATTGGAGGAGTGGAGGAGAGTTTGAGGGGAGGTGGGTGGGGGGTGCAGATGTGAGAGGGGGAGGCAGAGGTAGGGGTGAGTAGGTGATGGAGTGGATTCAGGGAGAGTAAGGTAGAGATAGGAAAGGGGGAGTGAGTGATGAGGAGGTGTAGGTAATAAAAGAGAAGGAAGAGGAGGAATATGTGGGAGGAGAGAGAAGTGGTGATGTCTGGGTGTTTTTTAAGTGGTTTTGTTTTTGTTTTTTACTCTCTCTCTTTTTTTTTTTTTGAGATATTTTCTCCACATGAAAATTTGTGTTTTATTAGTGATGGGAATGAAGGTAAAGTAGAATATCATTTATACATCGCAACATAGACCACTGTAACTCTGGACTGCACTTGGAGTAGCAACAGCCCTTTACTGGTATTTACTTGGTAACCAGGATGGATATCAATGCAGATTGTGGCAGAAAGGATTTAGGTTCAAATAAAAAGAAACATTTATTTGCCAATGGGCATTCCTGCGCTTGTACATGCATACACACATACACTAACCAGACTATGTATTAACCCAGTGCTGTGGAGGATTTGTAGTTTTGGTTCAGGAAATTTGTTCTCGGTTAGTAGTTTTCTAAATGCTCAGCCACCAAGGAGTTTTTTAGTAGTCTACATTTTTTCCTCTGATTTCCCCTTTCCTTGAGTTTGAGTTTTTTTTTCTTCTAATGCCATTAATACTGATGCTCTTATTATTATTATTATTAAGGAAAATGGTAAAAAGTTGAGATAGGTGAGTAAGCACATGTAAAGACATCTAGGTGTGAAAATAGTTAATAAAATAAACTCGGTGTGCATGGCATGAATATACATGCCATCTCCACTGGCATTGGATTAATAGATAAAATATATTACACACTAAAAAACTAAATTTTGCTATATATTCAGAAGAAAATTATTTTACTTACTATCCTACATGTCTGGGAAAACAAATGCATCATCATGCATAACTGTATTGAGAAAAAGTGTCAATAACATAACAATACCAATGCAAACATTAATTAAAAATTAATCAGAAGAACAGGTTTTAAAGAAGATATTTGCTGAAAATGTAACTTGCACAAACCAGCCTGGTCTAGATTCTACCCTGTGTCATGGCATCTCAGAACAGTTATCCACCTCCATTGGATTTCTGGCTAGTCAGCATTTGTAAAAACTGAGATTGAGTGCTTGCTCTGTTCACATCCACCAGCTTTAATCATTTCTGCCTGGTGATCTGTTGTCGGCAGCACACTCCACTGTGATGATGATTTCAAATTCATATGAAAAGCATCAATTCAAAACAGCCTCCTAACCCAATGCCAAATGATATTTGGCACCCAAAAGCTCTTATTTTTCTATGATTAATAAAAATGTTATAATTTTGAAGGTTTACCTTCATTAATCGGTGCTATTACCTAAAATCTTTACCAAATAAATGAAGCCGCTACTTTCGGAGAAAACAAACTCCGTCCATTGAGCCAATGGCGCGGGAATTGGCATGATATGATGCCATCCGTTTTTCGGGGCACAACAGCCATGGCATGTACGTACATGCCACCCGTTGGCTAATGGTTAATACTTCTTTGTCTGAGATTTGAAACTGATATTAAAATGAAAGAGTGGAATAGGTAAGAATTTTATTATGTCACAGCAATAAAAACTGCCCAGACTTTGAAAAAATACAAAGATCACACTACAGATAGTATGGTGATGCAACCTTCTGCCTCGACCATCTGAGTGGAAATGACACTTGAACCATGTAGGAAATGTTTTGTAGCTAGGCAATATCAGAACATGTGCATGTGAACAGTCCAAACTTAAATTGATGTATTGATTCTATTTTATATTCCATTAGGAGCTCCCAAAATGAAGATGCAAATTGTCACTTGTCCATTAGCCAGACACAAACATTGAAGTAATCCCTCAAATCTCAACAGAAAAAAGCCAAGGGCCAGGACCTCATCAACAGTGTGGCTGACCGCATCAACCTCCTGGAGAAGGACTACTTTGGCCTCAGTTATATGGACCACAACAACTATAAGACTTGGCTGAACCCGGAGAAGAGAATCTCAAAGCAGGTCAAGGGGCCATGGGAGTTCAACTTCGAGGTCAAGTTCTATCCCCCTGATCCAGCTCAGCTGGCCGAAGACATCACCAGATACCAGCTCTGTCTTCAGGTAACAGATTGAGAATGAAAGTAACAAATATAGACAGACAGATAACTTGAGCAAATTTTCCTTGTTTCAGGATCAAATTGATTTTTTTCCATTAATGAAAGTATGTACAGTGAAAGAGCACACGCAGAGAGGATATAATATGCTCTTCACTTCTTTCTTATTTACAGGTACGGCAGGACATCTTGACGGGCAAACTTCCATGTTCTTTCGTTACACATGCACTGCTAGGCTCATACATGGTACAAGCAGAGGTGGGAGACTATGATTCCAAAGAACATGTCGGCACAAGCTACTTGTCTGAGTTCACATTTGCACCAACCCAGAATGCCGAGCTGGAGGAGAAGGTTGTGGACCTACACAAGACACATAAGTAGGTTTCATTTGCTGTTTGAATTTGGTCTCCTGTTGTTGTTGGCTATGTTATGTCGAAAAAGATGGTTTACAATAACACCTACCTTTTCTCTCCATTAGTCTTCCTTCTACTAGTTCTATTTGATCATCTCTATGTTATTTAATTTTCACAAAGATACATAGTGTACTAGATTTATTATTTTTCCTCCATCTCAGTTTTTTCGATAAGCAGTTTCATCTAGATAGTTTTATATATATTTTAAGATATCAAAGTTTAGTCAGAAAATTAGTAAGTTTTCAGTATTTGCCGACATATAAGACACACCTGTGTATGAGGTAATCCCTATTTTCAGTGCATTGCATCATGCATTTTTCAGAATTTTTTTTTAGTGATTATTCAGTGACCAGCATTTGCACATACAACAAGCTGAATAAATTGGTATCAATGAAGAAGACTATGAGTAAGATTTGAATATGTGTACTGATTATGAACTATGGATGTCAAAAAATAGAAGTGCATATCATGAGAATATTTCATTGTCGCTTTGCACTAGTTGTTGGTACAGAGATTGTCTCCTCAATGTATTTTTGAATTTTGAAAAGAATATGCGAGATGTTGGCTATGTTATGTCGAAAAAAATGGTTTACAATAACACCTACCTCTCCCCCCCACACACACACACACAAAAAAGGAAATTTAAAAATTGGCCATTGACATAGTCTTTGTATAGAGTGGAAACAGCTAATACAGCTGTGAACACCCCTCCTCACTGGTTTATACTTTATTTCAATATTTGCAAAGAAAATGTATGCAGTACAACTTTACAGAACTTCTGGCATTGTCCCGTAGGTAGTGCCCACCCTTTAGATTTATTAAAGATTGTCATTATCATACTGTCTGGTTAGCTAACAGTTTTTCTTGTATGGAGAGTCACAGAGAATGATTAAAGATAATTACCCTTATGTTTGTGGTATTTGTATGTCTATGTATATATATATATGTATATATGCGTCATGACACAATATGTATATATACACAAGTATATACATTATGTGTGTGTGTGTGTGAGAGCGAGAGCGAGAGGGAGCAGCTGCTCACATAAGCCTAACTCCTGTAGTTTGGACCATGTGATTGCCATGAAGTAATCTGCTCATTTAGAAAATGTGTCACAAAAGTTGTTTATGTTCAAAAGAGCATTGGAATATAAAGAGTGTGTCAGAAGCCAATTTTTGGAATTCATAAAAGAAAGTGATATGTAATGTACTTCAGAGTGATAAAAAAGAAAAAAGTTACTTACATTGCACTTGACCCCCCCAAAACAACTAAATGGAATTCTAATAAAAGGTCCATGTTTTGATCTACAAGTAGAATAATCATTAAAAAAAAAATTGAAATTATGAATTTTTGGGCAGGCTAATACCTAGTGGGTAGTGAAGTAAAGATCATATGTGGAAAATGTAGTTTTATACTCCAACACGCAAAAAATAATTGAATCAGCTGAAATAGTTATCTTTTTTGGATCAAAAGACCAGAGGAAGGTAGGCATTAGCCAGGACAGTCATCTTGATGCAAATGGTGACTGCTGTTTGAAATTCTTTTTGAATTTCCTTAATCTTTCTCAGAACATTTTCCATTTATGAAGTTTATTGATTTGTTACATTTGTTGTAGTGAAAAGATCAATAAATATATTCAGATCCTTTTCTCTAGAATAGTTTTGTGTGCCTAATACTGTTTCTTTGAGTTTGATATCAATTTGTTTAGTACACTTTGTGGTATAGCTATCACTGTAATAATATATGTGCATTCAGTAAACTACAGCTCACAGTTTACTTCATCTCCAGATTATAAGCTCATATCAGTGATCTGAGTGGTTCATTTTTTATGTGTTAGTTTCTTGGGGGGGGGGGGATGTCTTATAAGCCAGCAATAGATTACTTGATATTAATTGCTTTACTGTTTTCTATGCTTCATTTGCATGGAGCACAAGCAGTATCAGGCTTTGAGGTACCCAGATACTATAGTAGGCTATTTCGATAAACCAACCATTCAGATTCTCTTCATAATTGGTAAGCTGAAATACATTTTTTGTAGACTATATTTGCCAGTGTATGTTTTTTATAGGGTGTGAGTTAACAAGGCTTATTTTTTTTCTTTATTTATTCAGAGGGCAAACGCCTGCAGAAGCAGAACTACACTACCTTGAAAATGCTAAGAAATTAGCGATGTATGGCGTTGATATGCATTCAGCTAAGGATTCAGAAGGTGTAGATATCATGTTGGGTGTTTGTGCATCAGGCCTCCTTGTTTATAGAGACAAGTAAGTAAGATGTTTAAATTACTTGATTCTTCCTGCCTTAAGTGTGGTTTATATTATTATTTTTTTATTATTTATGAATCATAAATTCCTCCAACCTCCCCAGTACCTCTATCTGGGAAAAATGCATTATTTATATTTGTATATCCATGTCCTTATAATTTTTTTGTGTGTGAAAAGTGATATACTCTTTGACACCCTATTTAAAATTTACCAGATTACGCATCAATCGATTTGCATGGCCCAAAATCCTCAAAATCTCATACAAGCGAAGTAACTTCTACATCAAGATTAGACCTGGCGAGTTTGAAACCTTCGAGTCGACAATCGGGTTCAAATTGCCCAATCACAAGGCAGCTAAGAGACTTTGGAAGGTGTGTGTGGAGCACCACACCTTTTTCAGGTTTGTTCCCAAGTGTGGATTCTGTATTCATTTGAAAAGACTCATTGCCAACAGAGGATATAGAATTGAAAATTGATAGATACATGATTCAGGTTTTCATGTAAGAATTACTGACTAATAAACTGTCAGTGAAGTCAGTTGGTTCAGTGAATGTTTTTATGATCCAATTATTGATTATCACTTAACTTTGCAATATATTGTCCTTATAATGACCCACAACCTCTCTCTTAAAGATTAATGACTCCAGAACCACCACAGAAGCAAGGACTTTGGCCACGGTTAGGGTCAAAGTTCCGATATTCTGGGCGGACTCAGTACCAGTCCCGCATGGCAGCTAATCTTAGTGATCGAAACAATCCTGAATTTGAGCGAACGCTGAGCCGTAGAAAACTGTCTTCAAGAAGTATGGATGGTAAGGAGAGCATACTACATTTTCTCTTTATACATTTAATCTTTTATTTATGTGGTAGTCATTGTGGATGTTTGGATTGGTATGAATGTTTATATAGGGTACTTCAGTTTCATGTATTTCCTTGTTGAGATATGAAGGACTGCTGATCATGATGATAATTATGAGATGAATACTTAAATGAAAATTCCAAATGTATATACTCAAAAACATTTATATGAAGTATATAGTGTAATATAAATATTTATGTAGATCTTTACATCTTTATTCATGTAGTGGATTGCGACTGGTCTAACAGTCGCATGAGAAGTAATGTGCTAGAGTCAGTAATTCATCTCTATGTGGGGTTTCTTTTGAGTTTTAATGCTAAATTGTTTCATCATCTTCATTATGTTAATGTTGGGGACATTTCACTTGATTTATTTCAACTAGAATATAATTTGCAACTTTGGCTTCAACTAAATCTTCAATATCACCAATATAATGCATTGGAGTATTGCTGTCATGTCTGTGGAGATGGATGGAACTGAGGTGCCATATATAGGACTCATTACCATATATTTACCTTCTCTGTTTGAAAATCTTAATATTTGTCCTAATATATATACATTATAACTGTTAGTGTTTTTAATAGTTTTTTCATATAGAAGCCAGGTTAATCATTATTGTCATTTTAATGGAATTTAGGCTCGTTATTCTACAATTTTTTTCGTAGAAATTAAGCAATAGATATACCTGTTATTCTTATTATTATCTTTTATTGTTATCATCATTATTATTACTATAATTATCACAAAGAGTTGAGAGTACAGTTTTGTTATGTTAAAGCATGAAATTTGCATAAGACTTGGAACAATGGAGATTTCAAGGCATCTCCACTTCTTTGCTCATTGTTCTTTGAATGTTAGTTGCCTTAAGAGGTGCTAAAACTCCAGCCAGGATTAGTTGGGCGAAGAAGGGAGGTTGCTCTAGGATTTGTGTGCATGAGGGGGTACACATAAATTCAGATTTTTCAAATTCACCTTTGTGTTTAGAGTAAAGCCTTTACTGAAACCAAAGATACACTATTTTTAGTTGAGTGACATGATAAATTTAATGATTTTTACTTAATGTAATGGTTTGTGTTGTTTACATGGAGCAAATCACACTACAAATCCATGAATATATAAACTGAGTAATAAAAATTTGTATGTTGATATATTTTCCTTTTTTATTATGATTTAGATAATTTAGTTTTCATATATCTATTTGCAATTACTAGACATAATTGTTTTGGGGGGTATTATAACGTATAATTGTTTTTTTCACTCTGTATTTCCTATGCTGCATTGCAATTTCCTAGCCTACAATATTATGGAGGGTTAGTGAAGTATATGCATGTGTAGAGGATGGATATTTTGGTCTTGACTACAAGTTTGTCCGTCTTGTATGGCTAGAACGATTTTTTGCCTTCTTTTTTTTGACTGAAGTCAGTGTTAGAGATAGTTCTGCTTTTTGAATATTTGTTTAAGGAGGTTTTTGCAGCATTTATTACATATATTGTATGTGTATTCAAGTTACTGTTAGGCCCTTCCACATGCAAGAAGAAACACAGTACATTCATATTTTCTTTCTCTCTCTCTCTCTCTCTCTCTCTCTCTCTTCTCTCTCTCTCTCTCTCTCTCTCTCTCTCTCTCTCTCTCTCTCTCTCTCTCTCTCTCTCTCTCTCCCCCCCTCCCTCCCTCCCTCCCTCCTCCCTTCCCTCCTCCCTCCCCTCCCTCTCTCTCTCTCTCTCTCTCTCTCTCTCTCTCTCTCTCCTCTTCTCCCTCTCTCTCTCTCTCTCTCTCTCTCTCTCTCTCTCTCTCTCTCCTCTCTCCTCCTCTCTCTCTCCCTCCCTCCCCTCCCTCCTCCCTCCCTCCCTCCTCCCCTCTCCCTCCCTCTCTCCTCTCTCTCCTCTCTCTCTCTCTCTCTCCTCTCTCTCTCTCTCTCTCTCTCCTCTCTCTCTCTCTCTCTCTCTCTCTCTCTCTCTCTCCCTCCCTCTCTCCCCTCTCTCCCTCTCTCCCTCTCTCTCTCTCTCCTCTCTCCCTCTCTCTCTCTCCTCCCTCCTCCTCTCCCTCCCTTCCCCTCCCCCTCTCCCTCCCTCCCCTCCTCCCTCCCTCTCCTCCCTCCCTCCCTCCCTCCCTCTCTCCCTCTCTCTCTCTCTCTCTCTCCTCTCTCTCTCTCTCTCTCTCTCTCTCTCTCCTCTCTCTCTCTCTCTCTCTCTCTCTCTCTCTCTCTCTCTCTCTCTCTCCCTCTCTCCCTCTCTCCCTCCTCTCTCCCCCCTCTCTCTCTCTCTCTCTCTCTCTCTCTCTCTCTCTCTCTCTCTCTCTCTCTCTCTCTCTCTCTCTCTCTCCTCTCTCTCTCTCTCTCTCTCTCTCTCTCTCTCTCTCTCTCTCTCTCTCTCTCTCTCTCTCTCTCTCTCTCTCTCTCTCTCTCTCTCTCCTCCCCCTCCCTCCCTCCTTGCTCTGTTTCTTCCCATAGCCCTTCCCCTTGATACACATGCTCATACTAATATATGTAATAAAAACTAAGATCTTTATTTTCTCATATATTTTATAGGTTATCTATTTATCTGATGAATATTTCTTCTTATATATTTTGCCCAAAAATATATTTTTTAGCTAGAGGAGTAGTCACTCTCAATATATACAAAAAAAAAAGATAGATTTTATGAGAGCCTCACACTAGTTATTTTCAAAAATTGTCTGTTCGTAGGACAGAGAGCTCAGGTACGGGGCTCACATATGGCAATCATATGACCCAGAGTCAGGTAATGTTGGTAGAGAACTCCTTAGGTCTTTTTTTTTTTTTTTTTTACATTGACAGTTCATGTTGGATCAAATTTTGGTCTTGTAGAATTCAAAGAGTTTTTTTTTTCTCTCTTTGTCTTCCCTCTCTTAAATTACCCTAGAGGTGAGGAATTGGCTTTTTTTCTTTTCCTCATGAAATGAGGGGGAATAATAGACTGCCAGTATTTACAAACTTCGATAGATTTTATTATATCCAAATATCATTTCTTTTTATGTATAAGTACATATAGGCAGATGTTACAAGCATGACAACTCGTTCTAGAAAAGAGCATGATACTCATTGATTAATGTATGGGATCTTATTTATAGTCCAAATATATATTTGCTGCTTGAGGACCAGATGAGTAACCTTAAAAGATTACTGCATCTGCCCCTTTATACAGCTTTGTGTGTCGTGCAGAGGGAAAGCTGCATGCTAGTCCCTCTGCATATTGACCTCTGTCCAAAATAAGTTCCCAAAACAAGCATGATTTGTAGTCAGATGTATTGTTCATAATTTGTCTGTCTGTTTCCTCTCACTTTCTCTAATTTTTTGTACTTTTAATATTTTAATTTTTTCTTTTTCTTCCAGTTTTGAGTCTTGAAGTTAGTGTTTGCCTTGTAAAGTCTTTTAATTTTTACTTGTACTGTTTTTTCTATGACTAGTTAGATTATTTTCTAATTTGTTTTCAAAACTTCCTATTGTATACTTATCAAGATCAGAATTCAAGATCAAACAGAGGTGCTAATATTTGTGAAGACAAGTGATTTTGACTTAAGTATGGTTGGCTAAACTGGACCTTCTGCCCACGTATCTGTACACTGTGTAACTTTGGCTCGTCATGTTGCAGCCCAAAAGAATGCTAGCAACCTGTCGCAGGGCCTCTCCCCCACACACAGGTAGTCATGCATGTGGTACTTGGTTCGACATCAATAATCATGCTTCTGATATAGTGCAAGAAATGCCATATATTGATTCCTTCGGCTTCAATGGTAAAAAAAAAAAAGGCTTAGGTGCTACTCTCGCTACCAGCATGGGCGTTCCCTAACCTCTCCTCCTTCGATCTAATGGTCTTTGTACGTGACTTGATCGGCAGTTTCCATCAGTCTTCCCCCCCCAGTGCTACTACTATTTATTATTTTTAGCATTTGATTTTTGTTATTTCTGTTTGATAAAGTAAATTGATATTAATGGTATACAGCCACCTTTCATTTTCTTCTTTTTTGGTAATGTATTAACTTGATCATTTATTTTAGGAATCATGGCCCTCAAGGAAGGATTTATGTTTTAATATTATTTTGTTTGATGCAAGTTTTTCCTTCTCCCTTCCCTGCCCTCCCTCTCTATATATGGAGATAAAAGTATACTTCTCACTGTTGGTCTTTCAGTATACCAACAACCAGGCACTTAAGAAAAAGTAATGTAAGGATTATTTATGTCAATAGTAGTGATACGAGTAAAATTATGATGATTAATGTCCCACCCCCAAATATTCAACCTATTTCCCCTAAAGCTTCTGAACTCAGACAAATAAAAAAAGTTATCTTAATTTTAATAAATAATAAACTCAGAAAGAACAGAAAAAAGAAAATACATTGCATTGTTGATCTTTTCATTGATCATTGTAAGGAAGCAAAGACTGACTGAATTGCAGAAACTGTCCCTCTGTGTAATGTTGCGTACATAATTCCATCATCGTCCCTATTGTGAGTTTTATAACTTTACCATTATTTTAAATGGAGAATCTACATTTTTGTGAAAGATAAATAGCTCCTCAATTGATTAACAAAAGAAAAAAATGTATATTGTTTAGATTCTCAGCAGTTGTATCATGGTTGTACTTTGGCCTTTGTCTTGACCTGTCCTAGTAGGTTTTCTTCTTTTTGAATGACAAATACATGTACTGTAACAACATTTATTTTTTGTTTGTATACATTCTAAAGCATCCTTTTTAGAGGATCGGTATTCAGCCCGTTGTTTGATATTAATGCATAAGGATTAGTCTTATTTTGTGTGTTTCAAGCCATAAAAAAAATTCAGACTTCTCTATAAGTTACTTTGTTTGATTCATGTCAAGGCATTTATTTCTGCAGTGGTGTCCTTTTTTAGATTGTAGAATAAAAAAGAGGAAAAAGGAAAACTAACACATTTGAGAAGAAAGACTAATATCATGCTTAAGCTCTTGCATATAACACTGTGTTCAATGCCATCCTAACCTCCAGCTGTGACTAGTGTCAAAGAGATAACTAGTAGCATTAGTTTACTTGAGTTTTGAATTTTTGGCCATAACCCTACTTCTAGTTCTGTCTTGCCTTAAATAATTTTGTATGATATTCAGTAACTTCACTTCAAAACCAAAAAAGATATGAAAGCACTTTATAACTGCACACTTTCCTTATGATTTTGATAAATCTGTTGCTCTTTAAAAGAGAAAGAAAAAAGTAAAAAAGTTTGTTCAGGTTTTCTGGCTAACATCTGACTACAAAAAATCCCATTCCTGTTTCTCACCCCGTACCTTTCCTATTAGCCCTGGGAACCCGCACTGGGGAGACACCTGAGATGTCCAAGAGGCACACTATGTCCCATCCACCCCCACACATCCCAGGCTTGGAGGAGGCCCCAGGCAAGGAGGGCAAACAAAGCCGGCAGCGGAAGGGACACCCCTTCAGCAGAGGAACGCACCCCAGAGAAGAAAGATAAG